AGCAGTCAGTTGTAGTCTTACACAGATGGACTTAGCAATGACGTAGTGGTAAGTTTCTGCTCTTACACACACCAATCATGATGTTTAGTGTTATAGCGCTCGCTCTCTCTAGTATTACTGTAGCAGTCAGTTGTAGTCTTACACAGATGGACTTAGCAATGACGTAGTGGTAAGTTTCTGCTCTTACACACACCAATCATGATGTTTAGTGTTATAGCGCTCGCTCTCTCTAGTATTACTGTAGCAGTCAGTTGTAGTCTTACACAGATGGACTTAGCAATGACGTAGTGGTAAGTTTCTGCTCTTACACACACCAATCATGATGTTTAGTGTTATAGCGCTCGCTCTCTCTAGTATTACTGTAGCAGTCAGTTGTAGTCTTACACAGATGGACTTAGCAATGACGTAGTGGTAAGTTTCTGCTCTTACACACACCAATCATGATGTTTAGTGTTATAGCGCTCGCTCTCTCTAGTATTACTGTAGCAGTCAGTTGTAGTCTTACACAGATGGACTTAGCAATGACGTAGTGGTAAGTTTCTGCTCTTACACACACCAATCATGATGTTTAGTGTTATAGCGCTCGCTCTCTCTAGTATTACTGTAGCAGTCAGTTGTAGTCTTACACAGATGGACTTAGCAATGACGTAGTGGTAAGTTTCTGCTCTTACACACACCAATCATGATGTTTAGTGTTATAGCGCTCGCTCTCTCTAGTATTACTGTAGCAGTCAGTTGTAGTCTTACACAGATGGACTTAGCAATGACGTAGTGGTAAGTTTCTGCTCTTACACACACCAATCATGATGTTTAGTGTTATAGCGCTCGCTCTCTCTAGTATTACTGTAGCAGTCAGTTGTAGTCTTACACAGATGGACTTAGCAATGACGTAGTGGTAAGTTTCTGCTCTTACACACACCAATCATGATGTTTAGTGTTATAGCGCTCGCTCTCTCTAGTATTACTGTAGCAGTCAGTTGTAGTCTTACACAGATGGACTTAGCAATGACGTAGTGGTAAGTTTCTGCTCTTACACACACCAATCATGATGTTTAGTGTTATAGCGCTCGCTCTCTCTAGTATTACTGTAGCAGTCAGTTGTAGTCTTACACAGATGGACTTAGCAATGACGTAGTGGTAAGTTTCTGCTCTTACACACACCAATCATGATGTTTAGTGTTATAGCGCTCGCTCTCTCTAGTATTACTGTAGCAGTCAGTTGTAGTCTTACACAGATGGACTTAGCAATGACGTAGTGGTAAGTTTCTGCTCTTACACACACCAATCATGATGTTTAGTGTTATAGCGCTCGCTCTCTCTAGTATTACTGTAGCAGTCAGTTGTAGTCTTACACAGATGGACTTAGCAATGACGTAGTGGTAAGTTTCTGCTCTTACACACACCAATCATGATGTTTAGTGTTATAGCGCTCGCTCTCTCTAGTATTACTGTAGCAGTCAGTTGTAGTCTTACACAGATGGACTTAGCAATGACGTAGTGGTAAGTTTCTGCTCTTACACACACCAATCATGATGTTTAGTGTTATAGCGCTCGCTCTCTCTAGTATTACTGTAGCAGTCAGTTGTAGTCTTACACAGATGGACTTAGCAATGACGTAGTGGTAAGTTTCTGCTCTTACACACACCAATCATGATGTTTAGTGTTATAGCGCTCGCTCTCTCTAGTATTACTGTAGCAGTCAGTTGTAGTCTTACACAGATGGACTTAGCAATGACGTAGTGGTAAGTTTCTGCTCTTACACACACCAATCATGATGTTTAGTGTTATAGCGCTCGCTCTCTCTAGTATTACTGTAGCAGTCAGTTGTAGTCTTACACAGATGGACTTAGCAATGACGTAGTGGTAAGTTTCTGCTCTTACACACACCAATCATGATGTTTAGTGTTATAGCGCTCGCTCTCTCTAGTATTACTGTAGCAGTCAGTTGTAGTCTTACACAGATGGACTTAGCAATGACGTAGTGGTAAGTTTCTGCTCTTACACACACCAATCATGATGTTTAGTGTTATAGCGCTCGCTCTCTCTAGTATTACTGTAGCAGTCAGTTGTAGTCTTACACAGATGGACTTAGCAATGACGTAGTGGTAAGTTTCTGCTCTTACACACACCAATCATGATGTTTAGTGTTATAGCGCTCGCTCTCTCTAGTATTACTGTAGCAGTCAGTTGTAGTCTTACACAGATGGACTTAGCAATGACGTAGTGGTAAGTTTCTGCTCTTACACACACCAATCATGATGTTTAGTGTTATAGCGCTCGCTCTCTCTAGTATTACTGTAGCAGTCAGTTGTAGTCTTACACAGATGGACTTAGCAATGACGTAGTGGTAAGTTTCTGCTCTTACACACACCAATCATGATGTTTAGTGTTATAGCGCTCGCTCTCTCTAGTATTACTGTATGCTGCAGCTGATACATGTCTTATATGTCACATGATGTTTAGTGTTATAGCTCTCGCTCTCTCTCTAGTATTACTGTAGCAGTCAGTTGTAGTCTTACACAGATGGACTTAGCAATGACGTAGTGGTAAGTTTCTGCTCTTACACACACCAATGATCTACGCCAATCTTGCAGTCTAGCACTAACGGAATTATGTATGACATAGCGGTACGCCTGCACTGTTGCACAGATGTCATTAGGGATGTCCCGATACCAATGCTAGCATCGGAATCGGGCCCGATACAGGGTATTGTGACAAGTACTTGTCAAAATGCCCCGATGCCTAGCGCCGAAGCTTGCGCTATGTTTTTTTTTACATTTAAAGTCACCTGTCCCTTTAAGAAAAAGTATCGGTAATTGGTATCGGCAAGTACATGAGGGGATGTACTTGTACTTGGGCCTGAAAAAGTGGTATCGGGACATTCCTAGATGTTATCTATGGTATAGCAAGGTGATTCCATACATGTAAAGTAGGGATACCGTTATCGGTGCCAGTATTGGCCATTCCCAAAACTACTCATACTCATGATAATGTCCCGATACTAAGCCCTCGTTTACACCTGAACGTTTTGTAGCGCGTTCTACGCACGACGAACGCTCTACAAAACGCTCAAACATCTAAATCCCATTGTATTCAATGGTCTCGTTCCCACCTCGGCGCCCGCCCATCCCTAACGCGCTACAAAACGGCCCACGCCTGGAAAGGTGCAGGTACTACTTTGGCCCGTTTTTGTTGCACGTTTCCATTGGGATACAGCCAAGTAGCCCTTGGAAACGCGCGTTTGTCGCGCAATTTTTTTTACCGCGAACCGCGGTTAAAAAACGCGCGACACCCGCGCATATGCAATACGCCTAGGTGTGAACCAGGACTAAGCGCAGATACTGGTGCTTTAGATTTTTATACTCAAGCGGCTGCCATAAGTTCCTGCACTTATTGTGGACCTTGCGGCTGCTATTTACAGCGCTGGTCCTGTCGCTATTCTCCTTCCTGCCACCCGCACAGCTATGGTGAGACTGCATGCAGTCCTTGTGAGTCCGCTCGCATCCCTGGTGAGACCACACTCAGCCTCCTGAGACGCAGCAGTCCTGGTGAGCAACAGAGTATGTAGCTTCATATTGTTCTGCATTGCTGTATAATGTATTGCTGGGATTTGTAGTCCCCTATAGCCGATGGTATTATGCTTTGCTGTGTAATGTATTGCTGGGAGTTGTAGTCCTCTATAGCCGATGGTATTCTGCATTGCTGGGATTTGTAGTCATCTATAGCCGATGGTATTCTGCATTGCTGTGTAATGTATTGCTGGGAGTTGTAGTCCTCTATAGCCTATGGTATTCTGCATTTCTGTGTAATGTATTGCTGGGAGTTGTAGTCCTCTATAGCCAATGGTATTCTGCATTGCTGTGATTTGTAGTCCTCTATAGCTGGTGGTATTCTGCATTGCTGTATAATGTATTGCTTGGAGTTGTAGTCCTGTATAGCTGGTGGTATTAGTCTGCATTGCTGTATAATGTATTGCTGGGATTTATAGTCCTCTATAGCTGGTGGTATTCTGCATTGCTGGGATTTGTAGTCCTCTATAGCCGATGGTATTCTGCATTGCTGTATAATGTATTGCTGGGATTTATAGTCCTCTATAGCTGGTGGTATTCTGCATTGCTGTATAATGTATCAATCAGATTTATAGTCCCTGTGCAGCTTGGAGTCAGTGGCAGAACTACAAGGGCCGCAGCTGCAACTGGGCCTTGGTGCTTCCCCCACTATCCTAAAATCATTATTCTGTATTGTTTTAGAAAAACTGTCACATGACACACACAAAAAAGGGATCAGTAATTGGCATCAGCGAGTAACTGAGAAAAACTATTGGTACTCATACTATCGGTGCATCCCTCATTTAAAGTACACGCTGCTATACTGTACATCAGGAGTGCAAAGTTACATGGGAAGTGTTGGAATATTCTTCTGACACATTTCTAGCTATATATCAATTTTAGAATGATTACTAAGGAGCATTTGAAGAGTTGTGATGTAACCTCGCACTGACTGCTCTGTGCCATCATCTACCTTCAATGTGCCGAACTTGCTGCAGAAAGAAGCCAGAATGACACCGGGGAAAGAAACAGCTGCTTCTATGGACCAACTGGGAGGGGCAACTAAGTTTGTGTGAGGGCCATGAATTAGGGAATGACCGCTTCCATAGGAGGCTTCTAGTTTGCTTTGTGACAAAATACCTTTAAAAGAACAAATGAGACTCAGCCGGTTATCCGGGATTTTGTGGCCGAGTAACTGACATGATGAGGATGACAGCCTGGAGCCTACACCTTGGAAACAAAGGATTGGTGGGGCCCCACGTTCTGTCCTCATAGGTTCCGCTCACAATTAGGATCTGCCTGTACAGAAGTTCAATCCTTCCACAAGAGCCACCTAGACTCATTTAGTACCGGCAGGGCTGGGGCGGGTAATGCTGCATGGGGGCCTCATTGTTTGTCTAGCAGAATCAGTCATCATTAGAGAAGAGCCTGACATAGTAAATTTATTGTTTCTAGCACAGCTGTAACATGGTCTGTTACCAGAACCGCTCCAGGTCCCAGATCGGAGCACACAGTCATATTAAAAATACATTTCTTCCACAACTTCTATTGCACCATCAGAAACGTTTCATCTGCCGTCTTTCCTGGCGTCTCTGGCGTTTCTCATTTTGTTCTTGTGGGACGGTGGAGGATGAGGAGGAGGAGTCTGCTGTAAACCAGGGGCCGAGTACATTCACCCAAAGCAGATACAGAGCCCGTCCGGGAGCCTGCCAATGAAGAATACAAGATTGATTGTAAGAACACAATACATGACACTGGATGGGAGACCCCTTCAGAACCGGTACACCGGGCCTCAGAGGCAAAACCAGAATATTGTGCTGACAAAGGGGAGAGGGATGGGAATTTGTTACACAAAAGAATGTATTCTATATTAACCCTTTTGTGACGGGAGATGCACACTGTATGTTCCCATCACTAAGTGCCCATATGACTTCTCACTAACACTTTACATGAGCAGCTATTCAGAGTTGCCGGTAACCGGTGAGATCAGGGTTACCGTTCACTAACCAGACATCCATTAATCAAAGATTTCAGCATTTTCAGGCACACCATCGCTTTCAGTGATCGGAAGTGCGGTATGATCTGGAATAGCCCATTCATTCTCCTACTAGCACTGTTCCTTCCTATCCACAAGCTTGCTTACACAGGACCTCAGAAAGTGCAGTGCCATAGTCCTCTCCTGCACTCCCCATCTCACACAGGGACATTACAGCAAGCAGATAGTAAAACTGGACCGGCTTTCCAGCCTGACTATGGACCCAGAACTATGGAGACCCCCCTCGGACCTCTTGGGGTTACAATGAACCATTGTACCAGGTTTATGTATGGAGAGATGTACTGTACATGTTCCCTGGCATTACATTTGGATGGCCCTGTGTGTATTATAGGTACAGGCTGTGACTCCAGGAGCACTGAAGGGGGATAATTCTGGACATTTATTGGTCCCTTTGTTGTATTGTGTTGATGATGGGATTAGGATAGCTGATTCTAGGAGTGACTCCGGGTGTAGGTGAGATCACCCTATGGTACACTCAGGAGATAATCCCATCACATGTGTCTCCTCTCTCCCTATTCATTCATGAAGGCATCGGGGAGGGGATGTCTGTTTGCATGCTGTTCATGTGTGATTGCGTTATGTGTTTAGACCCCCAGAGCTGTATATATACTGAGACCCCCAGAGCTGTATATATACTGAGACCCCCAGAGCTGTATATATACTGAGCTGGTCTTCAATAAAGCAGATCTTGGTTTCCACCTCAACATTGGTGTTGTCTGATGATTAAGGAGGTTAGCGTTCTGTCCTAATATATTGGTTCTGTCCAAGAATTAGTCAGGTTTGGGCTGAGGACACTGGAATTCGGGTTCCAGCAGAGAGGAAGCTGATTTCTGACGGAGGTACCCAGTCGGGGTACTAGGCGGTCCGTCACATATGGGACCTCTCAGTCCTTGGAAGGAGGCAATGCTCTAAGCATGAATACAGAAAAAATTGGCAAGATCCAGTAATATTTGTATTAAAGTGAGAATTGTCCCAATAAATGGAAAAGGCTTGCAATCATGGTGACGTAGCTGAGGGGAATCACTCTGCTGTGTGTTGGTAGGATAGCATGCAATCTGGCACTAGGGATTCACACCTCTGCAGATAGTCACACCCACCTAGGTGTCACAATCTACTTCAAACACCACTATTGGCTGAAGTGCTTTCATTAGAAATGGGTGTAAGACAGGGGCTGGCAAGTGTTACATCACAGTGACACCAGTCAGTGGCTTTGTAGTGATCGGCACACAGATCCCATTCATCCAGATAGAGGGACAGGCTGAGCTTCCCCTCAATTACATGCAATGCTTCTAGGTCTTTAACCCTTGTTAGGACAGGCAGTGTTCCAATCTAATTTACTGTACAACTGAAACCTGCCTGCACAGTACAGACAGGTTAAAGTAAACATAAAACTAAAAGGAGAAAAGGAAGCACCACAACCTAGTTCATTAACTGGGGAGAAAAAGGCTAAAACAATGAATTACAAAGTTGCACTCGCAAAACGAGCGGAGTATGAAATCCTTATCGGAGGATGGGCTCTGGATACATTGTGTCGATTCTTCTTTCACCTGTAGCAGGTATTTCTTACTGGATGTGTGGGGAAAGATGGCAGCATGTGGGAGAGAAAAACAAGAGAAGGACCAGCAAGCCAATTGGGTGTAAAACCTAATGGACAACCTTTAATAAACAGAAAGAATGACCATAAAATGACCACATCACCAGCAAGAAATACCTGCTACAGCCGAAAGAAGAATTGACACAATGTGTCCAGAGCCCATCCTCCGATAAGGATTTCACACTGCGCTCGTTTTGTGAGTGCCACTTTGTAATTCATTGTTTTACCCTTTTTCTCCCCAGTTTACGCACTAGGTTGTGGAGCTTCCCTTTTGTTTTTTGCTGATTCTCTGCAGGCTGGGAGCAGCATACCAAACATCGCTAGTCCTCCTTTCTCCCGGTTCCCTAACACCTCCTATCACTAGGGATAGTGCGCTTGTGTTTCTGAAGAATCAACCTTCATACCTTCCGACATTAAAGTAAACAGAACTTCCCACAGCCCCCAACTTACCTTTACATAGGGAGGAAGCTAGGTAGCACTTAAAAAGGTTGCCAGATTTAGGACCATTTCAGGTTTATGTCTGGCAAATACCTTTTTTCTTCCTTTTGGATAGAGTGGGGAAGGGTTGGAACCTGTCAGGGGCTATGTTTGAGAGATTTCCCTGTTGCAATTTGTCCAGCACTCCCTGACCTGCTGACATTTTACCAGACAAGAAGTCAAGAAAAAATGTGAAAGAGGAACACAGATCTTTTTAATGGAGCCCCTGATAGTAAATATCTGAAAGGGGATCTGTCTGCAGACTTATATTGGCTGCAGGCCGTGCTGACCCCGCTGAGCTAACGGACTGAATTTGGAAGCATCCATTTCTGCTACAAAGACTCTTAGCCCCATACCCCCTATCTGTAATCCTAACCCCTCTATCGCTAAATCAAAACCCAATACCCCATACCTAACTCTGTATTCCTAATCATAGTCCCCTAACTATAACTCCCTATCTCTAAACCCCAAAGTATATTTTATGAAAACAAACAGAGGTCTTGTAGAAGAAAAAGATTGTAGTTATAATTTTTTTACATCATGCGATATTTGTGCAACTGTTTAACAAACCCAATTTTACAGTAAAATACATCAATTGCACAAAATACACAATAGTAAAAAAACATGTAATAAAGGTATTTATGTGTGCTGATCTTCTATATATACTGTACATGTTCCCTGGCATTACATTTGGATGGCCCTGTGTGTATTATAGGTACAGGCTGTGACTCCAGGAGCACTGAAGGGGGATAATTCTGGACATTTATTGGTCCCTTTGTTGTATTGTGTTGATGATGGGATTAGGATAGCTGATTCTAGGAGTGACTCCGGGTGTAGGTGAGATCACCCTATGGTACACTCAGGAGATAATCCCATCACATGTGTCTCCTCTCTCCCTATTCATTCATGAAGGCATCGGGGAGGGGATGTCTGTTTGCATGCTGTTCATGTCAGAGCTGTATATATACTGAGACCCCCAGAGCTGTATATATACTGAGACCCCCAGAGCTGTATATATACTGAGCTGGTCTTCAATAAAGCAGATCTTGGTTTCCACCTCAACATTGGTGTTGTCTGATGATTAAGGAGGTTAGCGTTCTGTCCTAATATATTGGTTCTGTCCAAGAATTAGTCAGGTTTGGGCTGAGGACACTGGAATTCGGGTTCCAGCAGAGAGGAAGCTGATTTCTGACGGAGGTACCCAGTCGGGGTACTAGGCGGTCCGTCACATATGGGACCTCTCAGTCCTTGGAAGGAGGCAATGCTCTAAGCATGAATACAGAAAAAATTGGCAAGATCCAGTAATATTTGTATTAAAGTGAGAATTGTCCCAATAAATGGAAAAGGCTTGCAATCATGGTGACGTAGCTGAGGGGAATCACTCTGCTGTGTGTTGGTAGGATAGCATGCAATCTGGCACTAGGGATTCACACCTCTGCAGATAGTCACACCCACCTAGGTGTCACAATCTACTTCAAACACCACTATTGGCTGAAGTGCTTTCATTAGAAATGGGTGTAAGACAGGGGCTGGCAAGTGTTACATCACAGTGACACCAGTCAGTGGCTTTGTAGTGATCGGCACACAGATCCCATTCATCCAGATAGAGGGACAGGCTGAGCTTCCCCTCAATTACATGCAATGCTTCTAGGTCTTTAACCCTTGTTAGGACAGGCAGTGTTCCAATCTAATTTACTGTACAACTGAAACCTGCCTGCACAGTACAGACAGGTTAAAGTAAACATAAAACTAAAAGGAGAAAAGGAAGCACCACAACCTAGTTCATTAACTGGGGAGAAAAAGGCTAAAACAATGAATTACAAAGTTGCACTCGCAAAACGAGCGGAGTATGAAATCCTTATCGGAGGATGGGCTCTGGATACATTGTGTCGATTCTTCTTTCACCTGTAGCAGGTATTTCTTACTGGATGTGTGGGGAAAGATGGCAGCATGTGGGAGAGAAAAACAAGAGAAGGACCAGCAAGCCAATTGGGTGTAAAACCTAATGGACAACCTTTAATAAACAGAAAGAATGACCATAAAATGACCACATCACCAGCAAGAAATACCTGCTACAGCCGAAAGAAGAATTGACACAATGTGTCCAGAGCCCATCCTCCGATAAGGATTTCACACTGCGCTCGTTTTGTGAGTGCCACTTTGTAATTCATTGTTTTACCCTTTTTCTCCCCAGTTTACGCACTAGGTTGTGGAGCTTCCCTTTTGTTTTTTGCTGATTCTCTGCAGGCTGGGAGCAGCATACCAAACATCGCTAGTCCTCCTTTCTCCCGGTTCCCTAACACCTCCTATCACTAGGGATAGTGCGCTTGTGTTTCTGAAGAATCAACCTTCATACCTTCCGACATTAAAGTAAACAGAACTTCCCACAGCCCCCAACTTACCTTTACATAGGGAGGAAGCTAGGTAGCACTTAAAAAGGTTGCCAGATTTAGGACCATTTCAGGTTTATGTCTGGCAAATACCTTTTTTCTTCCTTTTGGATAGAGTGGGGAAGGGTTGGAACCTGTCAGGGGCTATGTTTGAGAGATTTCCCTGTTGCAATTTGTCCAGCACTCCCTGACCTGCTGACATTTTACCAGACAAGAAGTCAAGAAAAAATGTGAAAGAGGAACACAGATCTTTTTAATGGAGCCCCTGATAGTAAATATCTGAAAGGGGATCTGTCTGCAGACTTATATTGGCTGCAGGCCGTGCTGACCCCGCTGAGCTAACGGACTGAATTTGGAAGCATCCATTTCTGCTACAAAGACTCTTAGCCCCATACCCCCTATCTGTAATCCTAACCCCTCTATCGCTAAATCAAAACCCAATACCCCATACCTAACTCTGTATTCCTAATCATAGTCCCCTAACTATAACTCCCTATCTCTAAACCCCAAAGTATATTTTATGAAAACAAACAGAGGTCTTGTAGAAGAAAAAGATTGTAGTTATAATTTTTTTACATCATGCGATATTTGTGCAACTGTTTAACAAACCCAATTTTACAGTAAAATACATCAATTGCACAAAATACACAATAGTAAAAAAACATGTAATAAAGGTATTTATGTGTGCTGATCTTCTATATTTATAATAAAGAATATTGGGGAAGACTTGGAGCTTTGGAAACATGTTCTTTTGTTTGTAGAAATGTCACCTTGGAGGAAGGCTTTCCATGCACAGAATGAAGGATAGCGGACATTTTATCAGGGGTGAGCTGTAAACATTTGTTGGACTTTGTTGAACATCACTGGAGAGCATCTAGCGAGGGCCACACGAGCGATCCCTTGCACAAAAGACTTTACCAAAGAATGAGAGGCCAATGGACACTGAAAAAGGATGGCCAAAACCCACCCACGGAGTACTTCAGAGGATTCATCTTCCACTGTCTGCACAGGGCAAAGTAGGTTGTCCAGGTGCGATGGTACACCTGGTGAGAGGTGGACATTCTGGCATTCAAGATTGTGGGAATTAGAGTCAGACAGATCTCCATCACTCAGGACCTGGGCTTTAACAATCAAGCCATCAAAGCCAGTGACAGGGAATCAGGTTGGAGTATCTGACTCTGAGACAGGAGGTCCAGGTGGTCTGAAAGTAGCCAAAGGGAAATCTGCCAGAAGCCGAAAGATGTCTGCATAGCACACTCTTCTTGGCCAATCAGCAGAAGGTCCTGCAAGTATCCCACAATTCGGATGCCCTGCACATGCAACAGTGCAAGGACAGAAGCCATCAGAGCAACAGAGCCATTGAGAACACTCTCGGGGCTGTGGAAAGGTCATAGGGATGCACCCCAAATTGGACAAGTCTCTCTCCCAAAGCAAAGCGCACGAATCGTTGGTGCGGAGAAAAGATTGGCACATGTAGTTAGACATCCTTGATGTTGAAGGGTGGGAATGATTGACTCAGGTCCAGGATATAGTGCACCTTGTAACCCTTGGAACCTCTCTTCCTGTGGGACAGGCACAATGACTACTTATGTCAGCAACTGCTGCAATGCTCTCTGCAGATCCTCTTTCCGCTGGAGAAGGGGGGAGATTGAAAGACATTAATTGATGAACATTACAGACTGAACCCAAAGATTCTGGAGTTCACAAGAGCAGAAAGGCTACCAGATGTCACCGCCCCC